ATCAAATTCTTAATTATGTTTTAATTACAGTAATGAGAATAGTGATGAACAAACTATCACTAGAGAACTTTACCTAATCAAAGCACAGCACAAGTTATTTGAAGTCATGTACTACTGCTATACTTCCTATGAATGCCGGTCTCAGTTAATTTCACGATACTATGCATGGCCAGAAGATCCGATTCTGCCAATCTGCAATGTGTGTGATAATTGTATAAAACGTATAAAAGAAAATGTAGACCAAGAAGACATGCTAACAGCCATTTTAGACCTGCTAAATATGGTTAAAGTATTATGTGAAAATAATAGATTGATTATTCTTTTGGACGTGGTTGAAGTTTTTTGCTGTTTAAATAATGCAAGACTTCGGGGTAGAAGATTAACATTATTAGATCTTACCAATCGCAAAAAACCGACAGTATTAAAAACCAAAGCATTAGCAGAATTAGCATTAGCAGATTTGGTTTGTCGTAATTTTGTCAAACAGACTATTTTGCTAGAAAGAAAGACCAGTACGGCTTACTTAACATGCAGTATAGCAATAGAAGGTGCAATTGAAAGGGCGGATTTAATTGCACAATCACAAGCCTGGCTATATTGGATAAAAAAATAAAAAAAATTATATTTTTAAATAAAAAAAATCTTTTCTATTGTGTGATATACTATGGAAAATTCTACAGTAAAATATTCTATTTCAAGTAAATTACGTCAGTGTTATAGCTACATGTCCAGTGTTAGGGTTACTTTTTTGATATATTTATGGTTAGTGATTTACAAAAATATCAAGAATATGATTTATGCAATAAGTAGATCAATGCGTAATTAAACACGAAAGTTGTGACATTTTTTCTGAACCTTGAGCGAAGATACCTCGACAACCAAATTACCTAAAAGTGATTATTTTTATGTTATTTTGATTCTATAGGAATGTATAATAATTTTGTCTAATCAGAACTGTTCAAGTAGAATCTTATTTAACAAAAAATTTGTCCCCATGACTAGGGTATTAGTCGCAAGTGCACCAATCAGATTTTTTTGAATGATCTACGCCAATAAGATCACTATGAAACCACCTTCTGTGCCCTAATATATAGTGCAAAATTTACGATTATATAATATCAATAGCAATAAATTTCAAAAATGCCCTATTTATACGAAATCAAACTGCCAGATTTTAATTTTTATTGATACGATAATAAAATACAAGAAAGAATGAATATTATTCAGAATTTACAGTCGTACTGTCTTCCTTTTGTCTTTCAGATATACATACTGATCTATGATATAGTAAAGACAAATTTGTAATTACTATGTTATATAAAAGGAGAAGAGTTTCTACAAATTTAATTACAACAGTCTCTTCTGATTTTTGCATAGGGATTTTTGCTGATTCTATATTATAATATCTATTAACATTCGTTTGATCTCTGATAAGAACGTTTAGATGTAAAATATCTCCTGCTACTTGTATCCCAACAATTCCAAATTGCTCATTTTCAGGATTAAGAGTTTTTCATGTATAATACATACCATCGTTACATTCTCTCCATAACTTAACATCATCATCTATCGTTTTTTGAGGTGTACAAACCAATCTCGAGCATTCGACATACATAATTTCAAAAAGCATATCCAAATGTTTTACCATAAACATGATATCTGAACATCTTCCCGCTTGACCGTTTCCTTTTCTATCCACACTAGCAGCACTTTCTCTTTCTGATGTGCTAATAAATGAAGATCTAAAGGGAAGATCTTTTAGTACAGCTCGAATAAATGGTACAATGATGGTAGATTGATAAGTTCCCTCATTTAACGTTCCAGCTACTTCGAAGTTAAGAGCTGAATTATTCCAAATATCTTTCATAGTATTAAAATTTTCATTTACGACGGATAAAATTTTCTCTTCAAATTCTTTCCATGTCTGATCATGAACCAACTTTTCTGGAAATCCGCTATAATTATGATTAGAAAAACTTGATAAAAATTCGTTACACTTATTTTTAACACTTAATGAAAGCACGGGTTTTATTTGTCTGACCAGTTTCTAAAATAAAGACCATAACAAAAAATATCAGAAATAATTTATAGGAATTGTTTTGCTTAATAATAAACTTATACCATAAATGCTTTGTATAAGCTTTTCATTTTTGAGTTATTTTCTAAATTTTGTATAAACAGAGCATTATCTCTAATAATTTGACTAGCCAAAGGATTTTGCCACGTTAATCCTTGGATAGGAGTATCTTTTAAACTTGAGAATAAATGCTGATAAAGTTTACTAGTATCATTCTCGAGTTTCCTTTTTAATTTATCAATATTTTCGTTAATCTGTTTTTGATTAAGCGGTTTTTCCTTATTGGTTTTAATTGCTCCTATATCAAATAAAGAACACACGCCTTCGAAAGCACTATCAAACTAAAAAAAAAAACACGTTAAATGTTAGTTTTCAGAATATATATAAAATTTTCATCATTAAAACTAACATAAATTATCAGTGTATATGCAAGGTTAATATCTTTGTGTGGCCATCACTAAGATAAAACCTTATGTGATACTAATTAACAACATAATAATTTATATCTTAACTCACCCCGACCGTGCAGTAATCTTTTCATACAATATGCTAGTAGAGCGAACTACAATACTGCATAACAGTCTATAGTATATACACTCTTGTATTATACGTATGCAAGTATTATTGGGGTTGATTTGCTGGGTGAAAAAAAATATAAACAACAAACTAAAATGATGTAGTTTGTTTGTTCAGCACTGCTCTATAAACAGATCACACAATATTATCATATAAAAATTTTGAAATATTTGTATAAAATATTAACTAACCTGTGAAGAAATTTGTAAAATTCTTGAGCGACGAGGTGTGCCTTCCATATATAAATTGCTGGCAAAAGTTACAGCTCGATTTATAATTGATCTTAGTTCATCTTGTGAAATCCAACAGTTTTCTTTTAGCCTAAGATAAATAACTGATGTAGCATTTATCTGACATTCTCTGGCAGTTTTCAAGAATTCAAAAATCTTATCTTGCATTTTACGAGAAAATTAAGTAAAACTTTGTTAAAAATCGCTATAAAGCAACAGATAACAATAAATCCAAGATACCGCCTTTTTATAGGTATAGAGCATGTTTGATTTTATTGGTTGATCGTATTTCATCTCTTCCAAACTCGAAAGGTTAGAAAATGAAAATATGCGTTCTTACATCGAAAAATTTTTATGCAGACAATATGATCTCTATATACAATTATATTTCAAGCCTGTTCTAGCTATATTTATGCATGTAGAAGGTTCTAGATTTAAATATGGATATTCTATTTCTACATGTGTAACATAAAAAATTTGTAACTGATTTCATATTAAATTTCAAATATCGTACTCTACCCTTAAATTCCCAAATTCAAGGAATTCAAGGAATTCTGGGAATTCGTACAACTGATACCACAATAATAACTTTTTTGGGAAGATGATCTTGCTGTTTACAGCATACATGAATTTACGACTAAATCTGTGCCAACTCAGTACCCGTACAAAACCAGATCTTGACCAGTGCCTATC